ACAACAATTTGTGGATCACAAAAAGTGTCGTGCCATGTAGGGTTTGAACCCACAACACTCGGCGCAGTAGGAAGCGGCGAGGTGACCGCTTAAACCACTACGCCATCTGTGCAGTCACCGTGTTCTTACCAAGAAGCTTGTCGGCTGGTCTTAAATAGCCATTACAGATGCAGGAAATATATATAACTGTGAGTTGTATCAGGCACAATAGCAACAAATCCCATCACAAATCATAGATATTGTAAAGACGGAAGGAGCCTAAATTGATTACTTCAACTAGCCCTTTGTTACAATCCATCATCCATCATTAGCCTCTCGCAGTCCACTGCTGGACATAGGCCTCTCCCATTGCACGCCATTTTTTTTTTTCACTATAACTACAAGAAATTAAAATCTTATATTACTGGTTCTATTCTATTAACACTTTCAGTTTCTTAGTTCGTCTTGTGAACAAACCCGGTAGAAGATGAGTCGTGCTGGATAATTTAAAATAAATTTTATTTTTTGAGATTGATTCCATTGGGTTTTCTTGTGGAATTTAAATCTACATTAATACCATACATGCTAATTACAATTAGATTTATTTTGACAAATAACGAATCTTATGTAAGCTGAAAATTAATTAAGTAAAATATTAAGCTGTCTATAATGCCAAGTGAGGATGAAAACAGTATGTTTGGTAACAGAATAATAATTATAGCACTAATAATTAACTATCAAATCCCTTTGAGATGTTGCCTACGTCTACATTGCCTACTAATTAAATTGTAATTATTTGATAATATTATACATTAAAATAATTTTAGGAATACAGCGTTGTTAAAAACTGTTTAAGACGTTAATTATTATTTATATTCATACATTTACATACCTAATGCTAATATAATTTAATAATAAATTATACAGGGTTACAGGTTAAGTCGACTTTTTCTCCTAACTAACTTACTTGATGATTTGATGACCACTTAATCTAAATATAAATAAATAATTAGTTTCAATAATAACTAGTTCCAGCATGAGGCGTAGAAAGAAGAAGCGTAAAAGAATGACTGGATTCCAATTATAATAATAAGAGGGTTGGAAGAGGTGGTTGGGTGGCTTGTGCGAACAGCATATGCAGTATCCGTAATAAATCCGAATATCAGCATATTCTTTGTTCGTATAGGTCGTCATCTTCAACAGTGCTGCACGGATGGCGTAGTGGTTTAAGCGGTCTTACAACTACCCTGAGTGTTGTGAGTTGATGACCCCACATGGGGTGACACTTTGTGTAATCCAAAAATTGTTGTTTGTGTCCGTTTCATGTATGTTTGTAAAGTCCCCTGCGACACAGGATATATTCCTAGTGCGGGAGTTGTCTTTTTTAAATAAAAAAAATGAAAAGAGTATTCTTAGCACAAATCAAAGTCCACTTAGCAATAGTTAGTCACGAATAGGAATGTAAATAGTCCAAAAATACGAGCCAAGTATTTTACTAGGTACTATCGGGTTATTGCAAGTATATAAAACGCCATAACTAAGAACCCTAAAACATTCTAGTATTTATAAAAAATAAAAGAAAAGGTATGGGGTCTATCAATAAGAACGTCCTGGTTTAAAAATTGAATAAAACACACCATTTTTTATGAAAAATGCATCCGATTGATTTATTTGATAGATAATATTATGCAATTTATGTTTTAAATAATATATCGGCCAAATGACCGCCGCGGCTCTTTTTGCAGACGGTCACCCGCTCACGCCAATTTTTGATGACGCGGTGCACCATTTCAGCCGGTATGTCGGCTATGGCTCGTCGAATGTTGGTCACGAATTGTAGCTGGATTATTGCTGTATACTTTAGATTTAACGTAACCCCAAAGAAAATAGTCTAAAGGTGTTAAATCACACGATCTTGGTGGCCAACTAATCGGTCCATTTCTCGAAATTAGCGACTCACCAAACTTTCCACGCAATAATTCCATGTTCACTCGACTAATGTAAGGTGGTGCACCGTCTTGTTGAAAATAAAGGTCGTCTGCATCAATATCATCAAATTCAACAATTGTGTATCAACAATTCTATGTATGGTACTTTAAACCACACATAGCTGAACAAGAACACGGTTTCGTTAAATATAAATCAACCAATACAAACCTATTATGTTTTACATCAGCTTTATCTAAGAGTCTTGACAGTCGTATTCCGGTAGATGCCGTCTACACCAAATAACAAAGCATATGACAAAGTAGATCACCACCTTCTCAGTCTTAAATTGGCTCAATTAGGCGTAGGAGGAACGCTGATCGGGTGGTTTCAATCTTACCTGGTAAACAGACAGTCAAAAGTGGTAATTAACGGTCACTTCTCTCAAAGCTTTCTAGCAACGTCAGGAATGGCACAAGGATCGCATTTGGGTCCGATTCTTTTCAACTTTTTTAACGATTTGACTGAATATTTTAAACACTTCCGGTTAAAGAAAATATTAGATAACAAACACTACACAGAGGGTATTGAAATTAAAAGACACGGAAATGTACGTGACCTTGGAGTTCAACTCGACCAAGCGCTGAAGTTCAATTTCTAAAGCCTTTAAAGCACTGGGCTTTGTTGTGCGAAACAGTAAAGAGTTTAAAAACCCATCTACAAAAATAAAGTTCTTCAGCACACTAGTCCGCCCTATCTTAGAATATAATTCAGTGGTGTGGAGTCCGCACTACGAGGTGTATGCCAAACGAATATAGAGTGTTCAAAAGCTCTTCCTCTATCATCTATGCTAAGGTGATCACTTAGGAAAGCAACTTACGAAATACACTGACAGGTTGAGACACTATAATATAGATTCTTTAGCCAGTCGTAGGAAAAAGCTTGACTTCATTATCCTTCACAAGGTAATAAGTGGAGCAATAGATTGCAGTGAGCTTTTGAGCTCATTACCCATTCAAATTCTAACTCAGATCCCCAGGCTTAACACGTTTAGCCTATTTTACATCCCTAGTTCTAATACAAACCTGGGTCATTACGCCGCTGTGCCAAGACTTTGTAGGCAATATAACATGTTAGCCAAAACGACTGATTTAGATATACACCTATCTTTGTCTAAATATAAGAAATGCTTAACAGCTTTCATGAAATATAAGCCTCAATGTTAATATTATTATTGTTCGTTTTATTATGAATTGTTTATATTTTAACAATTTCTGTAACTTATTAAAAAAAAACCTTTTTTTTCCAAAAATCTTTGTTATTATTGTTAAATTGTATTTTTTTGTTCCTTTTTAGACTTTAAATTTTGTATATTGCATGTAACTTTGTTCGCTTGGTTGATGTTATTATTTAATACATCTGCAACATAACTGTTTTAGTTTTTTTTTTATGTTGTTCAAAGAAAAAAATATTTTTTACAAATTTATTTCATTTTGCTATTATGAACCACCTACATTCGGCTCAGATTGTTATCTACAATTTTGGTAATGGAAATCATATAGTAATGTATCAACGACACAAAAACCGTAAAAAAAAAGGAAATAATTAAAATATTATTTTAAAAATATTATTTTATTAAAATTATAAATTCTATGCGCTATCTATATATATACATCGTCTATATATAGCGTCTATCGATCTATATATCAAACGTCTTGAAAATGGTTAGATTTGAGATATGGTACTTCATAGTAAACTCAATTAGTAATAATAGCTACTACAGCCTCTTAAAGTGTCTAGGTCAACTTAACCAGTAACCCTGAATAATTATTTACTTTAAAATAAGTGTTAACCGATACCACAAGACGTCTCGTAACTCGAAAGCATTCTGAAGGGTATAACCCTCATTAATAGTGATCTCCCTGTTGAACACAACATTGTGTTTCTTACAGGTAATAATAATAATAATAATAATAATTTAATTTCTCACCACAATATAGCATACATTACATTTGAATAAAACAAAAAAATACAAATTATCATTTCCAGAATATTGTGGGAGACTGGTGCCTAAGCTAGGCTCGAGGCCTGTGTTTCAGGACACCAGGTCTCCACCCCGTGTATATTTACATTTTAATATTTTTTTTATTTATTTTACACAAGCCAGCACTACAAAGTTGCATGTTTTACTATATTTAATAGTTTATTTCTAGTAGCATAGCATATTAAGTGAGGTACATAAATTATTGTTGCGTGTTGCGTGTGAATGATTGTGTGTGTATGTGTATGTGTGTGAGTGATTAATTGTGTGTGTGTGTTTATGTGAGTGTGCGTGTGTGTGTGTGTTTATGTGAATGTGCGTGTGTGTGTGTGTGTGTGTGTGTGTGTGTGTGTGTGTGTGTGTGTGTGTGTGTGTGTGTGTGTGTGTGAGTGTGTGTGTGTGTGAGTAGGCGTGAGTATGTGGATGCGTGAGCTTGTGGGCATGGGTTTGTTCATGTGCATTCGTGTCATTAGCAAACTCTAAACTATTACCGAAAGCATCGCTTCAGTATCGTCATAGTTTAACCCCTTCAAATAATTAGTAAGCGTTCGAGGTGGAATATCGGTACAACTCTGTTGACCTTATTGTACAGGAAGCCGCCCATGTGGCAAAAGAACCGTTTGGAATGTTTTGTTAAAAGCTTAAGACGTTGTACAGGATTGAATCTTCTTTTGACACTGGAAGGAGTTTGGTTATAGACTAGTAAAGAATGCTGTTTCAGCAGAGTATACAAAATGAACAGCTGACGCACCGTCAAAACTTCAGCCTCCCTGTACAGCAATGCAGTAGGAAAGCGATATGGCTTACAAAGTGCCACCTTCAAGATAGCCCTTTGCGTTCTCTCAAGGTCAATTAATCTAATTTTCGGCGCTTCACCCCATATGGTGATACAATAGGTGAGAACTGACTGAACAAGGGCAAAGTAAACCGCTTTTAGTCGTTGAGTGTCTAAGACGCATCTAATCGTTTTAAAAATATACATTAATTTACGTAACCTACTGTTGAGGGCGTCTATGTGTTCATGAAATCCTAAATTTTTATCTATGATCACACCCTAGTATTTGACGGTATGTGCTTTTTGTAAAGGAGTGCAAGGGCACTGACCTCTGTGCGGTTCAGGACACGTGTGGGCCAGTATTGTATAAGGTGGGGCTTTTGAGGTTGAAGGATTGCCTTTCAGAGAGAATGTGATGTAGTGTGTTTTATCATTATTCAGGGTCAATAGGTTACTTCTTAGCCATTTAGATACAATATTGAACCCCGATTGAGCACGCTCGTAGACTTCACTCCACGTATTACCACTAAACACAAGAGCAGTGTCGTCAGCAAACATTACCGCCCTGCCTTTAGGTAGAGTGAGCATACCTATATCATTGACATAGATAAGGAAGAGTGTAGGGCCAATTACACTCCCCTGGGGCGTGCCATATGTGAGTACACGCTCATCACTGAGATAATCGCCTATCCTAACTCTCTGTGTACGCTCACTTAAATAATCTTTAAAGAGATCCAGTGGCACACCTCTGATTCCTAGGCTTTCCATCTTTGACATAAGGTTGGGTACGGAAACCGTGTCAAAAGCTTTGGCAATATCTAAAAAGATGCCTAAAACCTTTTGTCCACCATCCATTTCTGTGACTATATAGTCGGTGAGTTCATGTACCGCGTCTGAGGTTGATTTACCAGCTCGAAAACCAAACTGTATAGATGAGAGAAGCTGGTTTCCTTCTAGATAAGTAATGAGTCGGTTATTCATTATCCGCTCAATAATTTTTGAAAGGACTGGCAGTACAGCAATCGGTCTATAGTTGTTGACACGGCTTCCGTAATGTAGGTTGCTTTTCTATTGAAAGTGGGAAACACTACAAAAATTGCAAGCCATATTTTTTAAATGTAAAGTAATCCAAATACTAATTCATATTTATACTACTAGCACAATATTGAAGATAGTTTATTAATTTAAACACTTATTTAATTTTACTTTTATGACTGCACGGATGGCGTAGTGGTTTAAGCGGTCGCCACGCCGCTTCCTACTACGCCGAGTGTTGTGGGTTCAAACCCCACATGGGACGACACTTTGTGTGATCCACAAATTGTTGTTCTGAGTCTGGGTGTTCTTTGTGCCCGTTTCATGTATGTTTGTAAAGTCCCCCGCGACACAGGATTTATTCCTAATGCGGGAAGTTGTCTTTTTAAAAAACAAATAAAAAAATTAAAAAAAAAAATTAACATACTATATAGACTGTGCATGATATATGTTGATTAGTCTGCGGTCTAACGAGCGCATGTTCAAACCACTAATGCATTTGCAGTCCATCCCTAATTTCCTCAAAATATAATGGGGTTTTTGATTAAAACTGTTTATACAACGAGACTAAGATAGATATAAGTAGATATTTGTAACTGGTAATTTTGCTTACCTCAGTAATTACGTAGCTATGTCACACTTTATTTATTTAAAATACATCTATACATATATTTCTTAATTAACCCAAACCAAAGAAAAAATTAGAAGTTTTCTTGACTTGCCTATGTAAGCATATCAAGAAAGAATACTTTACTAAAATTAAATTATTGAAATATATATATATTGTTCCGAGTCATCAAACTCATTTACAAGTGAAGTTTAAGTTTTCCACTCTAGATACTACTACGTACTTGATCATCTTTATACCGAGATCAAACCTCAAATTGTTATGTTTTTTTTTTAATTTATGATATTATTCAGCTTACATTTAGAGTATTAGGTTAAATAGTGCCACACCTAACTTTCGCTGTTTGTCAATGTGAAGAAAATTGAGTCTCATTACACCTACATTGTATCTACATTACATTACATGTACATCATGTACAATACGTTCTCACACAGTATCTAAAAGGAACTTCTGAAGCAATCTCGAGAATTACGAGTCAAGGCTTATTCCTAATGCTTGATTTAAATGTTTAATACCATAAATATTTAAAAAATTACGCTCAGTGTAAGTCAAAACGTACATTATTAACACATTACATTTTATTTTATTTTCAATGGTCATGTCTTTTCAATGTTTTTTAGGTCTCATAGGTTTTATCTAAGAAAATATCTGCATAATGGCGGACCTAGACTAATTAATCCGTATTCGAATTTGTGTAGGTACGCGCCCATACACTTGTAACAATAAGATACATCACTTTTTGGCAGTATGTAAATAACATACGAGTATTGTGCCTGAAGGGGTATCGTGTGTTTTTACCCTTTTAATGACATAAAAAGGTTGTTTTTAAGATCAGAAAATTGTCACTGCTATCATACACTTTTAGATTATACCAGACTTGATTACATGTGTGAATAGCTAGATATTATATAACATTGTCTTACTAAATTCGTGATCTTGAAACGGGTTGCTATTAAAAAAAGGTGCTCGTACGAATAGTAAATTACACTTCTTTACGGATATCGGACGTAAGACTATGTTCCATTTATTGAGAATATTCGGATTCTGGAACAATGCCCGAGTATAGAATCGTAAATTCTGGGCAGCCGGTAATTGGCTCGCGCCTGGCTCTCTATGAAATGGGATCTAAACATAACGGACAATATCCTACTACCAAATGTGTAGCTTATATAAACCTTTTTTTTAAAGGTTTCTGATCATGGTAAGACCAACAAGTGAAACAAAAGTCAATCTCAGCGCAGTCAAAAGTAATATTTATTGCTGCGATATGCGATTTTGTATGGTGAACCTCAAAATGTAATAGCTTTATAAAATTGCCTCGTTGTTCAACAGTTCGCTTACAGTTTTAACAAAAACATAATTTATAATACGATGCACTAGTTATCAATATATTAATGCCTGCACGCGATCGTTAAAAACCAGTAAGAAAGTAATGTGCTCTATCAAGAGCGAGCCTTCTATCGGAATTTCAAACGGCTTCTAACTATATCATCTAGTTAAAGGTATCCAGAGCATCTAACATAAATTCAGTATCGACTCGGATTTCAATACCACCGGCGAATACCTACCAATAACAGATTGGCATTTGACCTTTAAATAGGTAGTTTATTTTTCTACTATTATGAAATTCTTCTGTTTTTGACATACAATTCAGTTTAAATTAATATATATATATATATATATAGTTTTAAAAAACTAAAAAACACGCTTTCTATAATTTTTTAAATTAGTTTTTTTAAATTAGTGTATTGTCATCGGTCCTCGATATATCTTCAAAGTTTGAACGAATTCTGACCGTTTAAAGTCAGTCAAAATCACGCCCAAAGGAGTCAGTTACAAACATACAAACAAACATACAAGTGAAGGTAATATAAAGCGTGTAATAAACATTGTTTTTAACACTTTTTTTAAGGAAACTTTAATAGTTTCCTGTATCTACAAAAAATCTTAGAAACGATCGCACCAGCTGTCTATTATTATTAAGAAATCTTCTTGAGCTTTTGATGAAAAAAATAATCTAATTTTGTTATTCGCGCTAAAAAAAAAATGACTGCAAAAATATAAATACTAAACTGGGATTCCTTTTTGTACTTTTAATACTTAAAAAATGGAAAGTTTTACCATACAAGATTCGATTTTGATCGCCTTTTAAGTTACCCTCATTTACGTCGACAAAATAGGTCTTTACAGAAGTGCCCCAACGCCCGTATTCGATTAAACTTTTACTGACCGCTTTTATTTTAGATAACGTTTATTTTTTATGTCTTTTTGCAGGCTGTCGTTCCATAATAGATGTGTGGGTAATGACAAGCTCTTAGAATTAAATACATTTTTAATAACCTTAAAGTCAGATATCATAAGATTCTAAATAACTATAAAGGTCTCTATTACGAGAACCATTAATAATCCTACTAAAACAAATGTACTAACGTAGTAACGGCTGTCTCTAGGTTATTTAACAACCAAGATTTCAACCGCACGCAATATTTGTGTAGGAAAAAGGTAATCAGAACCTCTAGGTGGATAATTCTTGTATCTACCCATAATATAGTTAGGCTTCATAGCCCTTAAGTTCATAGCAGATTTACGTATAACGTTACTAAAAACTATGCCTTTTTGTTTTTTTTCTAAATATTTATAACCATCATAGAGATGGGCTCTACCCGTGTCAGTGATGGATAAAATGTACCTAAAGTATCTGCGTATGTTCATGCATCTACACGTACACAAAAATATTTTTTTAATTATGTCACAGTTATAAGATCAATACTTATAAACAAACTCGTAATTATTGTGTATAGGCACTCACGCTAATTGCGTGTCGTTTCTTGTGTCATATAGTTGTAATAGAACACATAACTTACATTATTACATTTTAACTATGACGTATTAACCATTAGACTATAGTAAAACAATATTTAGATGACCTGTTTGGCCAAATGCGGGATGAGATAACCGCGCAATCCGGCCTGTCGGATATTCGGCAATTGTCGATAGCCTCACGTTGCTGTTAAAGGACTAGATGAAAAAGAAACTGATCATAGTATTCCTGACGTATCACACTTGAATTCATTACAACTTAGTCTAACTGCTCTAAGCAAGACTTAAGGCATGTTCTGCGATTGCTATAATGAAGTATTAAATACAAATAATAGTAATAAATCTCACTAACATGACAAATGTACTTCTGTTAGAACATTTCCCAAAGACAAATTGATAATCAGTTACCAGAATTTGCTCTATTATTATTACAATTATTAATGTCGTAAATGCAAATACGACTATCGTATGACTCATAAAACTTAAATAAGATAACTTTATTTAATATCCAGTATTTTCGGCTAGAGATCTGCTGACAATCCGGCGTTCGGCCAAAATCAGATAGTATCAGAAATATAAAATCAGATTTAGCCTTTTATTGATTTAACATGAGTTCTGAGACATTTGCTATTTCAAGTTACTTAGAAAAACTGATAAATATCGATTGATCGATTTTGAAACGGATAGTTTCCGAATATCTGTTACACTTTAGTGTCGGGTATAGCTTATACACTATATGAATAGTGTATGGCTTATGGGCGGATATAAAATATAAATTAGCACCGTCAGGGTACAAACCTGAATCTTAAGCCCCGCTCCCTTACTTTGTAAATCCAAGCAACTGTCGCCGATCGATGTTTGGAACTGTATAAATCTAATGTTATCGTGCTCTAGAATTTTCTACAAGTATGTGAAGCGAACGTATGTACATAATGTAGCGCTCTAGGAAGCAACAAATTTACTAGGGCAGGTTCTCCAAAGGGGCGCAAAGTGCCTCCGTTACTTGTTACCGTTGCGGAGAAAAGATTTATAAAAAGAATAAGAATTTTCCTTGCTACCCCTAATCCTATAAAGGACAAAACATCACAAAAGAATATGATCGATTGAATGGAAATTCTTAAGACGTTACGTATCCGTCTAAGAACAAGGTTATTAGAGGAAAACACATTATTTAGACAATAAATACAATATTTTACAACATGATTACATATTTCAAGTACATTTGTTTAAATATAAATAATTCTAGAAACTTAAACATAATTCTAGAAACATACACAAAAAAATAAAGTTGTATGAAAGAGTGGAAGCAACAGTCTATGTCATTGACAAACTTTGACTTTTGACATATATGACTATAAAATATTTGGAAACAAGGGGGTTTCAAATATGTCTAACAGCACATGAGAATGAATGAATGGTATGTAATATATCTGTAAAATATTAAATTTCAATTTTAATAACAGTAAGACTTTTAATAGGTTGCACGTTTTATACGATT